GTGACAGACCTGCAAAACTGCATACTGGTGTTCTGTTACCTTTCTTTCATTCTTAGCAACATAAATTGGTAAGATTGTTCATCCTTCAAATCCCTCTTTCGTAAAGCATCGTCACCAGGGGGCATCTTTTGAGTTTGGAATCGATAAATACCCACTTTCTATGTGAGTGTATTATGTAAAACTTGCACAACTTAATATCAAGCAGTCACCGAACAGCATTGGAGTTCTTTCGCGATCCTCACACAATCAACCATTGGACAATTTGTCTTGATTGCAGCTGATGCTATGTGTGATCTAGTGGCAGCATATCCTTCCTAGAATCAAGCCCCACAAGTGAAAAAACACAATAGCAATGAAAAATCCAAATCACGAAGAGCTCTATGCCCAACGCTGGACATTATCTATCAATCAAGTGCACCAACAATAAACATTTGAATCAACCTTTTTCAGGGCATGCATCAGTGTGTTTATTGGAGGGGAATTAACCTTTGCTCGTCTTGCAATCTGAGACAGTTTAAGAGAGTTAATGTCACAGTCAAGGCTGCATTTTGCACAGCACACACATTTAATATTTAATATTTAGGAGTTGAAAATTGGAAAGCGGAAACCTTTGGCACAAGATTATATGAATACCTCGTCTAGTTTGGTGTACCCAAAGGGCAATAAAACATCACTCTCGTCAATCATCACTTTTAAGAGTGTCCCAATCTTCCCATTGCCAGTCCAACCCCATTGCTCGGCCAAGTTCAGCATCTTTGTAAGAAAAGATGAGCAGTGAAGGGGTCCTGTCCAGAGGGGCCCAGAAACCACAAGTGAACCTAAGACCTGAAAAAAGTAGTTGATTTATAGGTAAATAGTAGAAGACTTCAAACAAACAAGATTATGAGAAACCCCTTCAAAGGAGTTGCAAAAAACATACATCATTGCAAGAGCACCTCATTTCACCAAGTTCATCCCATGAGAATGCTCGAGAGTTTCCACATTGATTGCAGTAGCTGATGAAACTATAATGCCTGCAAAAAACAGGCGGGGGAAGGTCAGAAATAGCCGAGATTCTAAACAAAGAGGAGCTGGTTGGAAAAAAGAAAAGATTTTGTGACCTTGTGATGGGCATTTTGCCACGCCTAACTTGAAGCATCACTCGGAACACAGGCCCGTGGTATGAGTAGTATGAGAAAAGTGGCACAACGTGGTACCCCAACACAGCGGCCTCCCGCACAGCCCCGCCTATAAGCATTCTTAATCCAATCTCGTTTGAGTACGGCATATGCCGGACATATGCTCCATATGCATCCAAAACACTGCTAGGAAAAGAAAAAAATGCTAACTAGAATAAAAAATGGCTACTTTAAGTAGTGATTTCATGTTTAAACTGATAAGATTATAGGAACTTAGACAAACTACACTAAATAACAGTTATCCAGACATTTTATTTCATCCTAGTAAGAAATTATTGTCATAAGGTGGGCATTGGGCAAGTCATGGTCTTTCTTGCCTTCCTTTGAAAACAGAAAGAAAGGCAACGATTGGAGTGGGAGAGTCGGAGTCAGAAAGAGGAGTGTTTGTCTATATATTTCCATTCAGAACACTTTTAGTGCAGTAATTACTGATTTTCTCTCTAAGCAACAGACACACATACACATGACTTCAGCTCTCATATAAGCAGTTTTTACAGATTGATTTGAGCTTAACCAAAAGCAGCTTCTGTGATGTTTCATGCGCATTAATACTTACAGATTAGCTTTGTCTGTTCTGCGTATTAATACTTACAAATAAACCAAAAGCCAACTTCTTGATTAACTGATCAGCTAAACCGAGCAAAAAACAAACACCCATTTTCAACTACATTCAACTCACTGTTGAGGCCGGTGGCCGCCGGACGAATACCCATCGGTGGAAGTCAAGTACAGAAGCCCATCCAATTTCACAGCACACAGTGCCGACCTCAGGTGACTCGACTCGCTCCCAAACGAGTCCACGTCGATCAAGTCGAAGTAATCCCTCTCCAGATAGCACTCGGTCAGAAGCCGGTTCGCCTCCATGTGCTTCACCACCCAACTCCCCATCCCGCTGCCGCCTGACGCTCTCTCCAGGTTCCCGCAGATGACCCCGCCGTACTCGTGGTTCGCGTCGTTGGCCACCACGAAGTCGGCGCCGGCCTCCGCGAGGTAGCGCATCGAACGGACCCCGCAGCCGCACATCGCGTCGAGCACCCTGAGGGAGTCGCTCGATTGCCTGTGGACGGCGGCGGAGAGCACGCCGAGGTCGCGCCCGGTGGAGCTCTCGCGACGAAAGAAGGTGCTGCCGACGTCGAAGTTGAAGCCACGCTCGGTCTCCGGCGGAGTCTCCGATTTGCAGCATTTTGTTGCTGGTTTTAGGGATTTGGGAGTGAGGGAGGTGAAGGGAATTGAGGGTTTAAGGTGGAGCGTGGGCGTGGGGAACATGGTGGAGATTTTATCAGTTTTTGTTTTCTTTTTCTGTAAAAATGGCGACTTTTTACAAATTTCTCAAATAAAAAAAAGCAAAAAAGAAAAAACAAAATCACCTTTTTAGTTTTTTATTCAAGAAAAATAAAAAGGAAAAATAGATCGTCTTCTTCCTCACTCTAAACTCTTTTTATGCCTAATAATTTTGCTTGCAGAATAAATTTTCACGGGTTAGGGTATACAATTCCTTACCTTATCACTAAATTTCCCCTAAAATTATCTTGTTAATTTGTGTGCATTATATAATTCAGTTCATCAAAGTATTTAGCTCACCAACTGTTTCTTCATATTTCTCAAATAATCTGAAATCACCTTACGCTTTTCTTCTATTTAGCCCAACGAAGATGATGATCAGAATCAGAAGCCGCGATGGCCTGGAGCGCGTCTCGATCGACAACCCCCTCACCGCCACCATCGCGCAGCTCAAATCCGATATCCAGTCCCAGCTCCGTGTGCCCATCTCGGCCCAGACCCTCTCCACCGACCAAAAGCTGCTCCTCGCCAAGAACCCGGCCGACTGGACCCGGTTCGAAGATATGACCGATCCGAACTCCCTCCTATCCTCTCTCAGCATCGCGCACGGATCCATAGTCTACCTGGCCTACGAGGGAGAGCGGGCCGTGGCCGGCCCGGCCTTCCATCCCGCGGGCTCTTTCGGCAAGAAGATGACAATGGACGACCTGATCGCGAAGCAGATGAGGGTCACGCGTCAGGAGAACCCGCACTGCGAGCTCGTCTCCTTCGACCGGGACACCGCCAACGCCTTCCAGCACTACGTGAACGAAATCTTAGCCTTTGCTGTCAAGCGCGGTGGTTTCATGTACGGCATGGTGTCCGATGAGGGAAAAGTGGAGGTTGATTTCATTTACGAGCCGCCACAGCAGGGAACTGAAGAAAACCTGATACTGCTAAGGGACCCGGAGGAGGAGAAACTGGTCGAGGCCATAGCTTTGGGGTTGGGGATGAGGCGGGTTGGGTTTATATTCACGCAGACCATTAGTCAGGACAAGAAGGATTACACTATGTCGGGCACTGAGGTCTTGCAAGCGGCCGAGCTTCAGGCGGAGGGAGATTTGAAGGAGTGGGTGACTGCCATTGTAAAACTGGAGGTGAACGAGGATGGTGGGGCCGATGTGCATTTCGAGGCTTTTCAGATGAGTGATATGTGTGTGAGGTTGTTTAAAGAAGACTGGTTCGAAAGGGATGTGCCGAAGGATATAGATCCCAAGCTGTCGAGGATGAAGAAGGATGTAGTGGTAGGGGGAAAGGACGTGAGGGAAGTGGACAACGATTTCTTCTTGGTGGTTGTCAAGATTTTTGATCACCAGGTTAGTGAAGATGTTGCTTTTTTTTTTATTATTGGGTTCTGTTTTTCCTGTGTTATTGGCTTTTGGAGTTTTTCATGTCATGATTGTTTTGATTCTGCCTTGTGATGTGAGGAAAGGAAAATTTTGAGAAATTATGGAAGGAATATGACATGGACCATAGTGATGGTATAATGGTGTTCACATGATTAGACAATGGAAGAGTATAAGTTTGTTGCAGAGTTTTAGTTTACGTTGGTTGATCGGCTATTGTAGAGGCCAGAGGGAAAGGATATGAGCTTCAAGGACTTATTTAGGAACCAAGTGTTTTATGTAAATGGAATAAATGAGTCTGAGATACAATCCTTGTTCACTTGATCAAACATTGTTATTTTGATTTCCATCATGAGACTGTCCTCGCAACAGATACTGGTTTATTGTGATGCGTTTAACTTATATATCTCATATTTGAGGGATGTGTGGCCACTTTCTTGGCGCAATCTATCAAGTTATCCTGCTAGTTAAATTTGTTTTACTGGGCAACATGATATTATATGTTGTATATTATATCTTTATGCCCTCAATGAAGTGATGCTGCTGCACCAAAACTTCTCCTCCTCAGCCATGGGAATTTTAAATTTCGTACCTGAATATTCAAACCCCCGTTTCTCACGCTTACACATACATCTATACATAATGCATGTTTACGTACATATGAACTACCGTGAGGCCCTTTAGCGCAAAATCTATGCACATTGGACATGTATGTCAAACAAAACCGAAAAACTTTTAAGTTGAAAGTCCATATATTGTTGAAAAAGGCAAATACCTTTATTTGAAATGAATATTTTTACAGTTGAAGTTGGAACTCTATTGCCCTACATTTTTATTCAAATGGTTTAGCCACCATACAGAAGACTTACATGAGTGATTTATTTCGCGGGATCTTGTACTATTTGCTTTTCTTCTCAGTTTTTCCTTGATTTATTCATGTGTTCTATAAGCTTTTACGCAATTCATTCGAGATTTGCTTCCATCTTTTTGACACAATCTTTTCTACAATCCAGGGCCCGCTTTCATCAACATTCCCCATCGAGAACAGGCAAACCCCTGTGACGATGAGGTCACTGAAAACCCATCTCGACCGAGCCAAGAATCTGCCGTTTGTGAAGCGGATTTCAGATTTCCACTTGCTTCTTTTGCTCGCGAGGTTCTTGGACGTGAATGCTGATGTGCCAGCCTTGGCTGGGTGTGTGCAAGTGCAGGCTATGGTGCCTGAGGGTTACCAGCTGCTAATCGAGTCCTTAGCCAGTGCCTCTTGATAACTGAGTTTTAACGTGTTTCTGTTCAAACTCAACTATGTACACTAAACTAAACACGGATTATAGTGCTTTCATCTGCTTTGGGTTTCATTGTTATTTATAGAATTTTATCTGGTGGTTTTTGCTCATTCTCTGGTTATACAGACATATATATAAATTCTTCTATTGATTTATGTTTAGGTCACTTTATTTCACTGTGAAATGTTGTACGAGGAAATCAATAACTTCAATTACCCTTCTGATTATTCAAAATCAAGATACAACAGCACAGTCTCGAATGGTTGTGGCCTGACTCGAACCCACCGATCGACACATATCATCGTCCAGTATGGTAGAATACAAACTACACAACTGCTTATTTGTGACCACCAAACACTCTTAATAAACTGAGAGATGGTAGTATAAAATAAACTACCACCATTCTCCTTATCAGTTTTTTTTTTCTAATTGCACAAACCGAACCAGAATGGTAAAAACCAAGAAGAAACTGAAACCGGGCCTTAAACTTAACTTGCCGAGTGGGCTGCAGCTGCCTGCGTAAAAATGTACATTTCACAAGCGTGACCATCTACTCGAGCACTGAACGAGGCCACACTGTCTTTCGAAACATATTCGTGCTGCAGTAAAGAAATAAACCATTAAGGCGTTAAGAACTCAGTTCTATCAGGTTACATGCTTTTGGGGTTAGAAGGTTTTCATTTTGGGAAGGAACAAAAATCGGGTTGATGACCGTGGAGAGCTACAAACATAAGACTGAGTAAATTGTCTCGATAAAAATTTCGACGCACCTTCCACAAATCCTTAATGGATACACGCACGGAAGACTCGAGCCCGAGTACAGCCCATTTGGCCGTGATAGTGGCAGTTTTCGAACATCTATTCCACAAAACAACGGCCAGACGTTGACCAGAAAGTGGGCCGGCCCAAACCTGGAAAAAAAAATAAAAATTGAATCGTCATAGTAAGAAGAGGCTTGCTGAGGAGTACAAAGAAAAATGGAGAATGCTTTAAGGTTCTCATACTTGGTAACAACTGTCGGGCCCATAGGAATAAACTTTCCTTCCTTGAACTCCCAAAGGATCTACAAGCAGTCAGGCAGAATAAATATAACAGAATATACTGAAAATACACATCGATATTTGTATCTATGTATATTTATATACGACCGCGAATTCAAGATCACAAAACTGACATGGCTGCTTACCTTGATTCACAGCAATAACCTCTTCATTACTAAGAATTTCAAGTGTCTCTGAGGTGATGTTTCGAACATCACATCCGATAATAAGTGGCGCCTGGACAAAAAAAAAAAAAA